TAGGGGGAATGGGACAAAGCTGGAAGTAGGTAGATCGAGATTAGACATTAGGAAGAAGTTCTTCACCATGAGGGTGGTGAGAGACTGAAACAGGTTGCCAAGGGGTGTGGTGGAAGCCCCATCCCTGGAAGTTTTTAAGGCCGGGCTGGATGGAGCTTTGAGCAAGCTGATCTATTGGGAGATGTCCCTGCCTATGGCTGGGGTGTTGGGACTAGATGATCTTTCAGGTCCCTTCCAACCTGACAATTCTATGATCTTGGCCTGTCTAGCAGAGCAGCTCCCCCCTCATTCTTTTTTTTTCCCCCTCTCCTCTTTGTCATCATTGGATCCATTCATCTAACAACAATTCTGTCTTGACTTCAGCTATTCCAGAAAAGACAGATTTCCCACTAAGAGGACTGAAATCTCTTTCCTAGTGACAGAGGAGTGCAGGAAGCCATAGGGTAGTGATGGCTGTCTACTTGATTTGCTGCCACAAGACAGCAGTCTTCAGTGAGGCCAAACAGAAGACAACTGTGCATGAGTTGAAAAATGTGGTGATGTGAATACTGAAGAGGCCACCAGAGGAGCAGCAGCTCTACAAAGATGATCATCTGGTTTATGATGGTTATAGGACTTTACTAGACTCTAGCTTGAGCATTCAAAGCTGATATCTTCATATTCCTTCCATGATGGGCTTGACTTTATTTAGACCTGGCAATGGCACCTTTGAACCATTGTGTATTGACCCCTTCTCAAGCACTGCAGAGCTACCAGGTGTCATGAAGTGACAGGAGTCTGGTAGCAGCTCTAGTGAACAAGCCTTATAGTTAACACCATCATCTTCTGCTTTGCCTATTGCAAACAGGATGCTGGTCTGGCCTGTGTATCCTGCATCTGTCCATACCCTTCCAAATGTGTCTATATGACCAGTAAAGCACTGCAATTCCATTACATGATGCCAGTGTGCTGTAGGGTCCAGGCAGCCAACTGAACTGTTTCCTGGGATCCTTCTCCCAAACCAGTGCTGAAGGAGCAAGGTGGCAGCAGCTGGTTATATAGGCACCACACATACTCTGCCATTTGAGTTTCTTCCAGCCAATGCCCAGCTCTGTGCTGCTGGGGTATTTTTTGAGGGTAGAATTGTTGCACAGACTAATTTGGTATATAAATGTTTGGCTTTCTGTCTCCACGTTGACTCCCGACAGTAGTGGCTCTGAGGAGTATGGGTGGAAACCTTTGGGGACAGGAGTGCAAAGGGAACTTCTAGTCCTGCCTGTAGCAAAATCTTTAGGAAGACTATAACCTTAAGACCTGAGCATAGGTAGGTTAGCAGAGATTATGGAGTTTATTAACTTTAAAGTTAAGGGACGCTGCACTAATACAATGCACATCAATGAATTTTTAAAACTGATACTAAGTATGGTTACTGGCATGGACAGTTGAAAACCTTTATCAACTTGGCAAAGATTTTTCTTAAAGGATTAGGAATTTGCTTTCTGCCATCTGCATTCTCCGTTCTCGAAAGGCAAGAAAAATACAGTGGAAAAATGCAGTATAGCAAGAAATGGATATAATAAAACTGCAGTCTGAGAGCTCTGTAAGAAAGAAGTTGGTTACTACAAGCTTTAAAGCATGAGATTTGTCTTATCAATGCTTCTACTGTTAAAAAAGCTTATGAAGTCACTTTTCTTCACAAATAGGTTTGACCCAAGCACTACGGTGTGGCATTTTTTTCCCCTCTATAGACCAGCTATATCAGAATCAATATTAGACATTCAATTTTATCCTTAGTGATGCTTTCACAAGCCATCACATCTGACTCAAGTCACACTGCTGCACTGCAAGAGGAAACTCCTGTTTTTTCTTTGTTAACAATCAGAGGTGGTAATGCATCTGCTCCCTGAATGAAACTGAAGTTGTGTTATTGCTAAGTTTCCCCTCTCTTGTATCAAGGGTAATTCTGGCAGGCCAGTCTACATCCAAATTCAGAAAACACTCTTAAAACTACTCAGTCACGTCCATTATATCTCCTTAGATATAGACTAAATATACAGACGCTTTTGAAACGTCACTTACATTCTTAAACCTCACTGGAGCAAACAAAAATTGAGCTTAAGTCTGCCAGCTGAATTGGGATTTAGGTTTCTGTGTTCTCTGTAGCTTTGACTTGTCCGTCCACTCCTTCCAGCATAACAGGGTTGTGGTAGAACTAGGATGCCATCTAGAGACTAGCAAATTTAAAGGAGAAAAAAAGAACAAACCAAACAAACCTCAGCAACAACAGAAAAAGAAAGTTCCAGAGCTGTCATATCTGTACAAGAATAAGCTGCACTAATGTAGCTGGGCTGTTGTTACAGCAATCTACTTGATCAAGCTTCTTATACTTTCCACTAGGCTTGCTGAAAAACTTAGGTCTTCAGAAATTCCTGGCTGTATTCTAAGCAAAGAATACAGGCATGCCACTCTATTTCTGATGCAATTTTGGTCATTCTACCTTTCAAACCCCTTCTTACTGAAAAGAAATGGAAGAGTCTTCCATTTAAAAGAGACACTTGAAAGAAAGTGAAAGGAGGCAGTAACACAGGATACAGGCTGCTCAACAGTAATTATATCCTAAAAACATGGACCTGAGGCCAGCCATGTAGCCAAATTAAATGCTGAAATTCTGGGTGTTATGCTCACAAATGTTTCTGCCAGGATTCATAATAATGCTACAGAGCTGATCTCTTATCTAACCTGTTAATATAATTTGCTGTTAATATTGGAGGACAATGGTCTGTGCTTTGGATGAACTCGTTCAATCATCTGTCTTGTTTGCTCCTATTTACAGTATTTAGCTGCAAAAGTGAGCTGGAAAACAGAGAATTTTGTTAAATAATCCAGTCTATGACTTCTGGAGTCTAAAGAATTTTGAATGAATGCTCCACCAAACCAGATGCCTGCCCATCTCCTGACCATCATCTTTGGTGTGCAGGACAACATTCCTTTGTCCAGGAGCAAGGCAAGACAAGGAGAGCACCCAAAAAAAAATAAGCTCTTGCAGCCCCTGGGAAGCTTCCTCCAAGTGCATGACATGGGGAGCCTAAAGGGTGGCACTGTTAGATATCGAGTCACAAACTAGGAACTGAAAAGGGGAGTGCCTTGGGGAGCTGTTGTACCCTAATAAAGTTAGAACTTGGATCAGGATAACAAGTTAGGGAAACTACACAGTCCCAAGATGGAATTTCAGCCCAGTCCAGATACCCTGACCTTCATACAGCAGACTGAAGTGACTTCTGTGTTTTACAACTTAGGGAATGAGTTCTTTCACAGTTTCTCAGCAATTACAGTTAGCTGTTAAACAAAACTGCTTGTTTCCATCTCTTCAGATGTGCTTGTTTGGCAGGCCAGGGTAAGAAATGGAAGAAGCTTCTGGAATTATAGTAGTGAAAGTGCTGCAATATTTTGAAGGGGTTTATAATCTTGTGGTGGCAAAGGACTGCAGTTTATTAGTGCTCCTTAGTGGAGATCTACTTGAAATACTGGCTATGGAAAAGTACTGTAGGCCTAGAGAAGTGTAAAAAGTATGGGTCGGTGGTTGTGTCTTAAATGCTGAAATGAAATGTTAAAACAGAATTTTAGGGGAGTGTTAAAACACCCAGCAAGATGAGATTACTTGTATAACTTGTGTGTTCTGGAGTTTCATGTAAATACCAATGAGTTCGTCCTAAAATAAACCACAGCTTTGCTCAAGGAAGCATACACACAACAATAGATTTCAACAGAAACTTGCAGGCTTTCAAAAGGTGCCAATGCAAACCTTCCCACCTACCAACAGAGGAGATAACTAAGAGTTAAACTCTTAACAAAGTCAACCAGCGAAATTGTCATTAATTGAATTTATCTAAGTTTTCTTTTTAAATTGGCACAAATCAGAATGTGAACTGTAAATCTCTAGTTTCTTTGGTATGCATAATGTAAATGGGACACACACTTTCCTTGTTTGTGATTAAGTTAGATTTTATTTTTAAGACTGGGGCAAAAATCTTAATGGAAACAAAATAGGAATGGGTACAAAGGACATTCACCCCTCTTTTAGGTGATAAACACTGTTTGACAGGAAAAGTTCCATCAGATTTACGTGTGTGTTCTGCTGTTTGGTTTAAAAGGCTTGGTAGTTGATAGGCTAAGCACTAGATTTAATTTTTAGAGCAAGAAGACCTTTTCAATACTCAAAAGATTTGCCCTGAAAAGAATTACTGGCCCAGCTCTCTGAAACTGTCTCTTTTTCTAGCAGGGCTAGGAGGAGTCTTGCGTGCTGCCAGATGGAGAGACGGAAAACAGGGGGAAGAGAGCACACAATCTCTTCTGCTCTGCCTGGACTGTGTTGCCTCCCGAGGTTCTGCAAGGTCTCTTAAACTTTTTAAAATGCCAGGATAATTGAAGAAGCTCTTCTGTGACTGGGTCCTTTCCACTATGTGGAGCTAGTGGTGTTAAGTTCTAAAGCTTTGAGGGTGGAGGAATACATCCCTTTGTATGGGACTGTAGCTGTGTGTTGAAGTGAAATGCTGAGACAAAACATAGCTTGGCAAAAGTGGGAAGCACAGAGTTTTGCACCCTCTGTCTCTGCTTTCTTGATTTTGACAGGTTTGTCATTCTCCCACAGCTAGACTCCTTGCTACAGGAGCCAGCCAGGTCCCTGCTGTGTTTCTGGTATTCCAAAACTAGATGCGGTAGGTAACATTGTCTGCTTCCATGTTGAAATTTGGAGCAGACAAGATTAGAGCAAACAGCTCCCTGGAAGCATTTTGGATTAAACATGAAATTAATCTTTCCTACTTCTGCAGAGAAAACAGTGTAGATTTACATATCATAAAAAAGACTTGGAAGATAGCAGAGAAAAGTGCTTGGGTGGATTTATAATGTGGTTAAATAGGTTTGGATCATGTAGGAGTGCTGGTTTGGGCTGGCTTTTCTGGAATTTGGGTGCCTTAAAAAGAAAGTAAATCTTTGGTTGCAGTTTACTCAAGACTTGGTGTTCTCTATGGACTTGAATATGTCTTACAACTGAACCTGGAAGACTCTTGCAGACAGAAAAACGTCCATAGAATGGTTTGGCTTGGAAGGAACTCTTAAAGATGATGTAGTTCTGTCCCTGTTGCCATGGGCAGGTACATCTTTATCTAGATCAGGCTGTCTAAAGCCCCATCCAACCTGACATTCAACACTTCCACTACTAGAGCATCTACAACTTCCCTGGGCAATCTATTCTGGTGTCTCACCACCCTCATAATGAAGAATTTAATCTTTGTATCCAACCTAAACTAAAACTCTTTTAGTTTAAAACCTTTACTCTTTGTCCTAGCACTACAGGCCCTAGTAGAATGTCTCTCTCTATCCATGCTGTAACCCTTCCTCTGTCACTTCCTTCAGTGGAAACTGGAAATAGCAACCCTGCAATTACAATGCACCATGATTCAGTAAGTTTCTCAGTATTTCCAAGTCCTCTAGCCTCAACCCTGAAGTGCTGGTGTTTGTGCTAGGCACAGTGTCATTGAAAGATGCCTTCAAATATGCTTTCTTTTAGCATAGGCTTGCAAAGGAAGGTAAGCAGGCTCATGGCCTAGCTGCTTATGGGGACAGTGTCTCCCAAGCCATGTCACTGAATGTTGGTGGGTAGTCTGTTTGCACAGTGATATTTGCAGCTTTGG